TATCAGAGTTCCCTTTGAAAGGGAGGAGGTACCGGCTGCTTGGAGGCCTCGCGGCCTAGGAAGTCACTCGTCAATAGGCAAGCAGGCCGCTATATCTCCAAGAGGAGCAATTGTCGGTGTGCAAGTTTGGGGACACACTGATTGAAGCGCTGGCTGGAGCAGTGCTAGCACAGAACTGCGCTGCTGGGGAAGGAGAAAGGACAGGAGGAAGAAGACCAGGACTGGGAAGGGGGAGCAGCAGAGGTAATTACCTGGCTATGGTGGTTGCCATCTTCATCACCTCGGTGGGCGGTGCAGCAGGAAGGCCCCAGTCGGGGTAGAGCTACATCCAGATGCTTTGAGGCACAGTCGGGCATGGCGGCCTGAGCTAGAGCAACCATAGCTGCTTTGTGTTGTCCTTTGGACACCAGGGCGATGCCCTGGTAGTCCGCCGTAGCCTTAACCTTGGAAGGAGGAGGAAGAAAGGTGGCAATGACTATGGTGGACCTCATGTGATACCTACAGTAGACGAGCAATTCGGACATTGATTCTGGTTCAGCCTTTCAACATTATTATTATGGGTTAATTTCAAAAATATTGCTGTTTCGAAGTTTGGCAGCAAAAATGTCGTCCGTTCGAAGTTTCCTTTGCAAAAATAGATGATTCGTTGCAGCTTTATCGGGTTCCTGTAGTTTGCCAGCAAAAATACCGCGTTTGGCCAAGTTTCACAGCAAAGGACCCCTAGGCCCCTCGCCTCAGGGACTCAGGGAGTCAGCGTTCTGGCCTCAGGCACTCAGCTTTTCTCTTTCTTTTTTTTTTTTGCTTTTTTTTTTTGCAGGCGTGGCATCTCGGCCGTGGCCACGCCTAGATGCCTCGGCCACGTTTCTTGTTTTTTTTTTTTTTTTTTCACGGCCTTGGGCACGCCCAGATGCGTCGGCCATGCCCGAGGGGAAAAATGAGGGGAAAAAAAACAAAAAACGCTGAGTGCCTCTGGCCAGAACGCGCACTGAGTCCCTGAGTCCCTGAGGCCAGAGGCCTAGCGGTCCTTTGCTGTGAAACTGGGCAAAACGCAGTATTTTTAAGGGCAAACTACGGGAACCAGATAAAGCTGCAACGAAACCCCTATTTTGCAAAGGAAACTTGAAGGAAACTTCGAACGGACACCATTTTTGCTGCCAAACTTCGAAACAGCAATATTTTTGCTATTCACCCTATTATGATTATTATTTCTTGTTTTAATAAGAGGGGAGGAGGAGAGTGGTTGGCAACTTGGCAAAGAAGAAGAGCATTCTCATTGGTCTATGCTGCTGTACATCATCTTCTTCTTCTTCTGTTTTCACACTCTCGCCTCTCAAGTTCATTCATTTCTTTTTGCAATTGGATGGAATAGTACTTTCTGATAAACTTGTACTTCGACATTGGCCAGGATCATAACAAAACACTAAGACGAGCGAAAAACGAAAAAAAAAAGAACATAGATTCATTGATTGATTCATCGACTCAATTTGACATACTGTTTGATTGATTGGTTGATTGAATGAATGATCGTGATTGACTGCTTGGTTAGTTGATTAATTGTTGCTTGTTGGCTTTGAAACGGTATTCACCAGTTCGCAGTAGCTGATGCAGATCCAAGGGCTCTATCCCTAGTTCCCCATCTTACCTGTGTACAGTACCGGCGTCAACCCGTAGATTTGAACCTGCTACCTGTAGGACCACCAGTGGTAGGTAGTTTTTCGTAGATCACAGGGTAGAAGGAATTCGAGCTGTAGACCTGTAGGGTAGGAGTCTAGACAGTTTAGAGGTCGTAGCTGTAGACTCCCTGAAGGGTCAAGGTTGTAGCTACTACTTACCTGAAAGGGCAAAGTCGTAGCTGCTACAGTACCGAAAG